TAATAAACTACAACAATTTTTGGAGGGAATGACAAGTCCCATCACCCCTTGCGCTCTCTCAATGTGGGGAGCCACAGGAGCCAGATGTAGGCCGAAGACTACATTTCCCAGAACCCTCCACAGCTAACCCCTCCCACCACTATATAAACAGGCCATCCGGGTTCTTCGAGATGCTGTTTGGCGACTCGTCGCCATTCCCGGAGCAGCTCGGCCTCTACCTTGAGGCGAGTGTCGGTCGCTGTGTCGGAGACATTCGTCCCCGACACCAAGACACCCAGCCCTCTCACCCGATCCGCGGTGGGAGAGCGTGTCCGGCCGGCCGGCGGGGCTCGCGAACCCTCCCCTCGCCTCCCCTTCCCTGGCAGCCTTCGCCCCGCCAGGCCCGGCCCGGACCTCCGAGCCCCGGCCTTCTCCTCCTTCTCCGTCACCGCCGCCGGGCCCCACAGCCCCGCCTGCTGCTTCTCTTCCCCGTTTGAGAAGCCAAGGAAGGAAACAGGGAAAAAATGTCGCCATGAAGGCCGAGAACCGCTGTCGCCGCCGACCCCCGCCGGCCCTGAACGCCATGAGCCTGGGTCCCCGCCGCGCCCGCTCCGCTCCGACCGCCGCCGCCGCCGAGGCCCCCGTTGATGCCGCAGAGCTCCCCCAGCGCCGCCGCCACCGCCTCCGACATGGACAAGAACAGCGGCTCCAGCAGCTCCTCCGCCTCTTCGGGCAGCAGCAAAGGGCAACAGCCGCCACGCTCCGCCTCGGCGGGCTCGGCCGGCGAGTCTAAACCCAAGAGCGGTAAGGGCGGTCCGCAGGGCAGCGGACGAGGGGCGACTGCCCATTAGCTGGGGCGGGGGCCTCACTCCACTTCCTAGTGTAGTTTCTACTTCTCGCCGCCTCCGTGGTTCCCAGTATTCGCAGTAGACACTTAATGGGTGCTATATTGCGAACTTGACGTGAATCACCGCGTTAATACTCAAAACAGCCCGGTGAAATAGTTGCTATTCTTATCCCCCCATTTTGCAGACGAGAAACTGAGGTTCAGAAAGGGTCAGGCGACCCAACAGTATGTGCCTAACAGCAGGAGATCCGGTTTGTCTAACTCATCAGTGCATGCTCCTATAACCACTTTGTATTCTGCCCTTTCGTGTTGGATTAGCACTGGATAGTGTTCAAGTTTAAACAGGGGAGGGTGGGGCCCAAGGCCTGTCAAACTCAAAGCTGGTATTTAATAACCTGGCCCCAGATCCGTCCCTCTGTCCTGCAGCAAATCCCTAGGTGCCTTTGTTCAGTCTGGCCTGGTGATTAAGAGCAAGACTCTGAATTTTCCTCCACAATTTGCTAGACGTTGAGTGAGTCTCTGAGTTAACTTACCTGTAGAGGTGGAGCTAATAATGAGAATTAGATGAATTAACTGGAAAAATAAAACAACTAAAGGCTCCAAACAGTACCAGACACATACTATGCACCAAATACATATTATACCAGTTTCTTTGTGTTAGGCTTTAATACCGTCCTTTAACAGGGAAAGTTTTGTCATTTTTGTAGTCATGCCTCTCATTGTTAAATTAGGACCATAATGACGATTTAAAACAAAACAAAACAAAACAAAACCCACTGCCATCAAGTTAATTCCATCTACCTTTTGGTTGGCAGCTGGTTGCCTTACCACAGCACCACCAGAGCTCCTTCAATTATGATGCAAAAAACTAAACTCAGTGCCATTGAGTTGATTCCGGCTCATAGTGACCCCCAGTGGGTTTCTGAGGCTGTAAATCTCGGAAGTAGATTGCCCCATCTTCCTTCCGTGGAGCAGCTGGTGGGTTTAAACCGCTGATCTTCTGGTTAGCAGCCAGATGCTTTAACCACAGTGCCACCAGAGCTCCTTTAGTGATGATAGTAGCTGTTGTTCATTGAGGGCTTTCCATGCGCCAGGCTTTTACTTCTGTGAGTTACCTTTATTGTCACTACCCTAGTCCAGCAAAGTGAAATTACTCCCGTTTAAAGATGAAGGAATAATCTCAGAGGCCATGAGGTAACCACTTGGCAGTCTGGAGTCAAATATTGTCTATCTTCAAAGCCCATGCACTAATCTCTGCTACTTTGCATACTGCAGTTACGTTAATGGTAATAGGAAGATGTTTTTTTAATGGGGATGGGTGTGTGTGCCTTCAACATTGAGAGTCACCGTATACAGAAGCTCAATTATTTAAACAATTGTAAGTTTAAAAATTGTAGGGCTGACTTGAGTTCAGAGTTCATCTACTGGGTCCAGCAAACTTGTTTACCTAATATGCCACAGACTTCTAGACATTGTTGTGGAACTTAGATGGAGACCAGTTGTGTCAATAGTAAATTAGGTGCTTTGACTGTCTTCATAGGGATTAGTGTGGACTCTCAGGGCACATCACATAGTAGTATATAGATTAATTCTGGGCTTTTGCACATAATGTAGCTTTATCATGGATCCCTCTAGAGGTAGCCAGTCCTCTTGGCCAGTGTTGGAACTGGATTAGAGTGATGTGAATATTTCCTGGTGTAGTTGATAAATAACATCGCTATTATACACTTCCCAGATGTAAAGTTAAGAATTTTGGTCTCCAGCCATAGGAATTCTCAATGACTTTTTTGGGGAGCTCTGGTGGTGTAGCACCTAAGGCATTTGACTGCTAACCAGAAGGTAGGCAGTTTAAACCCCGCAGCCACTCCATGGAGGGAAGACCGGGCAATCTACTTCCATAAAGATTTACTGCCTCAAAAACCCAAAGGGGGTCGCTATGAGTCGGAATCGATTTGATGGCAGTGGTTGTGGTTTTGTTTAAGCCACTAGTGTATATTAGTGAATCAGCTGCAATAGATAGCTTACGTTTATCTCTTAGTGAGACAGTAAGTGAAAACTATGATGACCCAAACAAAACAAACACAAAAACTGAGATACTTAAGGGATTTCACCCATAGGTCCCTGACTTTCAGTGTGTTGATTAAGGTGGAATGAACTCTGCCCAAGAGGATGATGTAGAGATCTGTTGTAGTTTGACCAAAGCAAATATTTGTCAGTGGTCACCTTTCAAACAGAGTTGTATAGAATAAGTATTAATTTGTGTGTTCATTCTAACTAAAGTGAATTTTTTTTTTCTTTTTTTTTAACAGTTACTATAACCTGAACTTAAAACACTTTTTCTCTTAATTGAAAGCTTCTCAGGAAATGAAAACTCATGAAAAGGACCTAGAATTATAAATATGTTTTGAGTTGCTTTATGAACAGGAACTTGGCTGGGTTTTATGACCTAGACCAGTGTACCCTCTGGAACAGTTGTTTTTGTTTAATGTGTTTGCCCATATTTGCCTTGCCAGGCTACCTTTTTTGATGATTACTCTGAAGGTGTATATGTATCATAAAAAGGAAGCGTGAGCTCGAAGCTAAATGCATAGTTTGTCACCAGTCATAATCTACTGCTGGCATTTAGGAACAAATTAAAAGGCAGAATATTAGGGATTATAAAATAGGTAAGAAACACTGCACATTGGTTAATTTTTGAGGTTGAACTGAGGGGTACAGACGTGTTTTTAAAAACGTGACAACTAAGACCAGTGCTGCTCCAACAGATCATTCAGGATCTTTGTATGGTGGCTTCTACACGGCTCTCTCACAAAGGCTAAGACTCAGGTTCAGAATAATTCCATAAAAAGGGTTCTTCAGTATTTCAAAATTTGGCTTACCACTTGATGTATCTGATTCTGCTGTAAATCTTGAGATGCTCAGGGTAAAGTGAAAACTTGTAACTTGTCTTTGTTTTGTCTAGGAGAGCAAGAGTATTTTAGTTACTAAGTATTTGTGTGAATGATACAAACAGTAGCTTTTCCTTTCTTCCTTTCCCACCTCACTGAGGGAAGAAAAAAAAAGACAAAACCTTTGGTCTCTCTTCTCTAAGCTGGCTGTGTTATAAGTGGCCATTGGGTTCCAAGCTACATGATTAATATACTTGCGTCTTTGTTCCTGTGCCTGGTTTAAGTTTGTCCTTCATTTGTACTCAGGAAGTAGGTAAACTTGGCTCTAGGATTTTCTTGATCTTTCTGGCATACCTTGGCTGATTGCCTCAAACATTGGCATACATTCCTGTTCTTGGGTATATTCCTACAGCAGCATTCCAGTCGGGTTAAGATGCACTTCTAAGAACTTTCAACAGTGAATATGCCATGAAGATAGCCCAGAAGAGAGAGATGGGTTAGAGGGTAGCCAGTTCATGGGCAAACAGTGGAACCTGGCTTAGAACCAGGCTCTTGCCCCATCCCTCTGGGCGGGGGATGGCACTACCATGGAGGTTACAGGAAGGTCAGGTATTATGAAGCAGTTATTTTGAGGTTGGTGGTAGGAAGCACTGTCCTAACACTCTTCTGGTTATTCCGGTACCAGAAGCCAGGTTACTTACTGGTAATCTGTCTTGAAAAATGCCTCTGAGCTGTAAATGGACCTGGAGTTTTTTTTTATTATTTTATTATTGTTGTGACTTGGGTGAAAGCTTACAGAGCAAATTCATTTTCCATACAGCAGTTCATACACATTCTGTTTCATGACTGACTGCAATTCCCATAATGTAATAGCTCTCTTCCCACTTCTTCCCTGTGGTTACCTTTTCCCTGTGTCCTTCTTTCCAGTGCATTCCTGCCCTTTGAGCTATCTCCCCGTGCAAACACTACCCTTCTGATCTGCTGTGTCTGCTTGTTCTAAGGAGTGTACCCACCTGATATAAATGTTCACCTTATATGCTGTTTGGCTGGAAGCTGTGGGAGTGAGTTTAATTCCAGGCCTGAAGGAGGGCTAGGGACCATAGTTACAGTGATTTCACCAGTCTCTATGGAGTTGGAGGTTTTTTTAATGGCTTTGAAAATGGAGATGACTTGTCTTCAATGAAGACCACTTAGAGTGGTTATAAGATTGTCAGGGCCTGTTGGCTAGAGTCTTTGATTTATATGACTTTGTTGAAAGTCCAGTGGTGCTCTTGACAGAACAATTTGGATTTATTAGTAATAGCAACTATGTGCTGTGATGTGGTAGGCTTTCTTTTTTAACTTTTATTGTGGTGAAAACATACACATCAAGACATTGACCAACATAACTTCCAATTTACAGCTCAGGGACATTGATGACATTTTTCATGTAGTTCCACCATCATTGCTAACCTTTTCCCAGATATTCCATCACCATTAGCATAAACTCAATGCCTCGCAAACAAAAGCTGTGGTAGGCATTTTACAGAAGCTTTCTCTTAGTCCTCATGACCCTGTGGAGAGAGAGGGTAGAATTTTAGCCTTCCCTTCAGATAAGAAAACCCAGGCTTAGAGGGGTTAGAGTGGTTTGTCTGAGTAAATTCATACTAAATCCTGGGTGATACTAACAAATAACACTTTGTAAAAAGTCACTTAGCAAGCAGGTTGCCAGATGCATCTTTCCTGATACCACCTCTCTCTCCCTTTCGTTCAAAATTACCTCATTTCATCTGAATTCAGTTTGTTAGTTGAGTGTCTACTAAGGTCATATGTTGCCCTTGGGGAGGTGCTGTCAACCACTTTGGACAATTGGTAAGCAACTTGCTTGTGATTACAGCATGAATCAGCAGCAGAAACTTCCTGGCTGTATTCTGATCTCTAGGCTGTGCCACCTGTCAGAACTAGAGCTAGAAATGTTGGTGATGCCAAATGATTTAACTGTGAAAAATTGGTGGTCCCTACCTTGGTAATAGGAGCTCTGGTAGCATAGTGGCTAAGACATTTGCCTGCTAACCAGACAGCTGGCGGTT